CATATTAAAGAGTCTTTAGGTAACTTTACTCACATTATGTGCACGAGTGCTTAAGTGAATGAACTGGTGTGTGCTGGTGATTTTGATTAGCTGTTTTTATTGCGTGAGGGTTGTCAGTTACCGGAGCCATGGAATCCAACAGGTACGTTAGAAGGCGAATTTTCGCCCAGCTGGTAGTAACGTCATGTTTCTGAGTGTGGAGATTGCCACAAGAAAGGAAATGCCAGAAACTAATCTTGGCATGCGCACCACGATTTGATTCTCACGATTCTGGTACCAAAACAGAAATTACGAGTGTTGATCCGTGACACTGCCAGTGAAATATTGCTGACGTCTTTGCTTATATTGAACTGGCCTATTTATGCAGTCCCCTAGAAGTTTCTGTGCTGTGGATTTGCCCTGAGGCCTTATGCCTTCGTATTTTCATATGTCGTTTGACGTAATTGAAGTTTGGTTATGGTACATTAACCCGACTGCGTACGTCATTGCCCGTGTTTTGGCACTGGTTAATACCGAAGCAGAAGGTCTTGGGACTGAGTACTGCGCCTCTAGACGATGAACGGCCGAAGCTGTGCAGTTATTTAGACTAGAGTGTTGTGCAGTCGTTTCGAGAAGTTGCTTCGCAGTGGAGGACTTGGGACTGTTGATGACGTTGTGACCCTTTAATCATGTAACGCATTTCTGAGAGATTGAAAACACTGGAAGGATGTTGTCTGGGAGTTCAAGTAACCCTGGTGGCGGCCGTAGCAGCAGTCTGCACGGCGGTGGACGACGGGGATCCAAAGATGGAGGTGATGGCAAGCGAAACTGGTCTTTAGCGACCGTTCATTAACTTCAAACAGTTGATGCAGAGAAGATGGGGACACATTGGCTTCTGTTTAAGATTTTCTGTCGTAGGAGCGTCGGTGTTTCCCCCAATCTTTTATCGTGAACGTATTAACGGCTGTGATTGATGCAAGTATTTTCGAATGCGGCTTTTCTCCCCCCACTCGGTTTGTTCGGTATGAAGAATCTGAACAGGGATGCGTGCTTTTTTTATTTATAGTTTAGAAACTATTTTCTGCTCACTGATGTTACAGTTTTTGCAAACTAGCTCACGGAACATATAGAGACCGCAGTTTTTAATTACAAGTTAACAAAATTGCAGTAAAGGGTTTTTGATTGATGCTTTCCTTCACGTGCTACATATAGCTGGTTCCAGAATTACTCTTTCATTGGCTTATAAATATTTTATTAAACTTTTGGAATCTCCCAGTGGTGTTCAGTGTAAAGTTCACGTGATACGGGGATGTTGGTAGGGACTGAACAGGCCGTTATCGTGTGATAATTTCGTTCTTGACCTTTCACACGGATATCAAACATCTATGTGCATCTCAGTGCTTGAACGAATTAATAAAAACGTGTGGCAACATATATCGTTAACACAACCACTGAAGTGTTTCAGTAATGTTGGGAGATGTGTAGCATATACAACTCTCATCCGGACACTGGCAGGGTTGAATGAGATTGCCAGATTGATAGTAGATATGATAGAATAATTCAAGCTCTGTGCCAGAACTATGAGCTTAAACTGAAAAATTTTGTCACCGAAGCATTTCTCGGTGTTCGTCTGTTGATAAAAATGAAGTTTTGTATAAAAATTCAGAATTGTAATGACAATGGGAATCTTAAAGACTTGTGTATAATCCTGTATTTTAAATTCATGTTTTGCATTTCTGCATTATCGGTGTTTGTGTGTTTTAATATTTTAACAAGGAAATTATACACTCTTAATTGATTGTGAGGCCAAGTTTGAACTGATAGTGTGCTGATCAGTTTTGCCACTGTCCAATAGGGCACCCCATTGATTTTATTACAGTCATTATGAATTTGATCATGCAGCTGTGGATTGTTACTTTAGTAGCATCTAATTAACTTCATTTGAAGCTTGTTGCCCCTTTTTAACTGTTCAGTCATTGACACTTTTGTTCCATTGAATTCTGTTGTTAATCGTGAAAATATGTACGCCTGTTTGAAATCCACTTTGAAGCCTTCCTTCTTTTGCAGTGTGTTTTCTGTGACGTGTGAATCAGTAAATGGGTATTTTCCTAGTTTAGTTACTGTGCATAGAAAGATCAGTGGAAGGCAACTTGTTGGATATGTGATAGGAAGGGACTGCTACTGTTCAAGGCGTGTTACTATAACAGCTGGTTCGTTTAGTCTTCATTCTGGGTGCAGTTTCCAGTACACATCCTGTTCTGAAACTTAATCAGTGGCAACGTCTCTTTTTATACTGTATATGAGTGAAGTGAATTCTTACCATCCAAAGGAGATGTGTTCATGTTGTCAGCAGGCACTCTTCCAACGTGTTGCTGAGTGACTTACAGGCAGATGAATTCACCCGTCTCCCAGTGAACAGTCTGTGTTCATACATGATCTGTTATCCTTGTATTATTAATTGTAATACATTGTCATGGGTGAATTGAATGTTGCAAAGTTCCCACCAGGGTAGCACTAGTCTGACTCATGTTTAAAGTCAGGATGAAGCCCTGCAAAATTCCTGCAGGCATGCTGGGACAGTACCTTGATTAGGTTACAATCACATCTTTCCATGTTCTTTTGAATTCATTGTGCCCCTCACTCTTTCATGCTCTCTCGTTTGGCTACTCACAGCATTGCGTAATGGCCTGGGTTAAGATTACTTATTTAAAATGGAGGATGTTTCGGTCTGGTTGATAATTCTGAACGATTGTGTAGATGTACATTGTCTGTAATTAGAGACACTTGCTAGATGTTGGATGTGGAGTCATTTATTTAGTGCAAGCAGCCTTCATTTTTTTGGCATAAAGTTCATGAGCTGATGTATCTGATGCAATTCAAGTATGGGTTGTGTTCCCAGCGTGTACTGGAATTTGAGTATGTCTCTCTCATGATGTAGATATTGGGAGTAATTTTGTCACTTGCATGCTAGAAGTAATGACATTATTCAGGTCTGTAACTTCAGTTTGAAATGTTCTTCTGGTTTAGTTTGTTTGCAGTGAAACAGGCATATCAGTGCCAGGTTCCCTGTTGTTTCCAGTTTTGCTGAGAACAGGAATATAGTTAACTGCCGCATCCCTAGGCATGTGCTGGATGCTGTTTTCAGCTTTCTGTTGCTTTTTATTTTTTCAAGACTTTTAAGAAAAAATGACGTTTTGGAACTATTGACAATATTATTAAGGCCGCCTGCTATATGTGTGGCTTCAGAAACTTGGTACATTTTCCAAAAGTGGATTTTAATGCAGTAGGTACCCATGAAATGTTAAAATCTCTCGTGGTATTTTCATGTGTACGAGTGACTATAGATGGGATTTGAATCGCTGACTTCATTCACTGTTCACTTTAACGACTTGCAACTACACTTTACAGTTCACTGTTACACACACTAATGTTTTCAGTCTGTTACATCCTCCTGTAGTCGGTGCCTAGTAACAAATCCTACAGTTCAAGATTCTTCATCTTCCATGCTCATGTCGTTACTGTCTGGTGCATCTTTTGTAACTGAACTGTTGTCACTCACCAACCAACTACTTCACTTCACTCAACTGAACTGCGCTCAGTCGGCCTAGGGCCCTTGCTGTATAGCCTCAGGGCGGACCCAACAGAAAACATATCTCCAGCCGTCCCTCTGTTGTTATGGGCTCTTGCCTAGTGATAGTGGGGATGTTGATGTGTTAACCGGCCATTACCAAGCAGTGCATGTTCTTCCTCAACATCGTTGCTTAGCAACTGTACTGCATGCTACAGTATCATTAAATTGTTTTCATGTTACAAAGAACTCGAGCCACTGAAGATCACAGCTGAATACTGATGATGAAACAAACTGAAATTCTGCATCAACAACAAATTTAAACCTAAGCTACAGTTCGATGTGCTACCTTTCTGAGTAGTTACTAAAATACACACTAAACAGAATACAAATGATATTGATTTCTGATATGCAAGAATTCAACATAGTGTATTGTTTGCCAAGATTTAGTAACTATTTACATTTTAAATATTTTACTCCGTGTAATTAGTAGAGTGAAGCGCTTTTCACGCAGATAGGTTTCAAGCATTGATACCTTTAGTATGCCTTAGGGAGTCATATTCAATGTCTTGAATTCCTTTGAGAGGAATTTGGAGAATTGAGACATCAGTTGTAACACGTGTGTCTCCTTCATTTTCTTTTTGGTTTAGTGAAGCACAGGAGTTTATGCTGCATTGCCTGTCCCTCAGTCCCATGGCCGTGCTGCACAGAATCCTACGACTTGTGTTTGCTAACTATATTTAGATTGTGCTTGGGACTCGTTGCTATTTTAATCTGGGTTGAGACATGTTGCTTGTGTCTTTTAACTTCATGGAGGTGTGAGAGTACAGACAGTTGAATATAAAATAAACCATCTTGCAAGTACTGTCATCGAGAGTTACGATTTGAAAGTATTGTGTGAAAGTGCTTGTCTGGGATGGCAGTAACAAGTAGAAATGAATCAGGAATTGTAGTTCATGATCCTTTGGTCCGGAATTATTTTAAAGAATGTAAATCTATGGTTCATGTTGTAATGAGTAGTATGCAACCTGGGTTGCTCTGGCAACAGTGGTATGATTTTTTGAGCTCCTGTCATCTGCTGAGGGAGTTAAGCCCTGTATGTGGGAGTAGTAGTTCAGAGCTGTTTTGTTGTCATTGCAGATGTGAAATACCATGTCATTAAATTTATCAATATGTATTTAGGCTAAGGCTTACTATCATGTCACTCTAGCAGTCATTATATGAAATAATGGACAAGCAAATATGGTTCCTTCAGTAATCAGCAGTCAGAGACACCTGTGTCAGTTGGTATTGCAGGCTGAACATGTACCAAAAAAATATTGTTCCTGTTAGTTGTAGCTAATGTGTTATGGGGCCCCCCATTTGTGTTGTCTTTTCATTCTGCCTGTGTCTTAATCACACAAAATAACCTTTCTGTTCGTTCACTATTAGCACATTGGTTACTTCCTTGCAGGTAGGGCTTCCCAGCGTTCAAAGCCAAAGCAGCCACGTCACCAAAAGATGCGTGATCTTAACCGGAAGGGAGCTGAAAAAGAGGGTGGCACAGATATGGATGCCTTTACAGAACCTGCCCCTGAAGAAACTACGCCTCTTGCACCTTCGTCATTATCGCCAAGTTCACAACCACCGGTTCCAGCAACACCAAACAAAGTAACTGACAATCAGATAGCCAAGGTGAGAGTGTAAGAACATTAATTTATCATGTAACTGTCTCGCTCCTTACATGAGGACACAGTTGCCAAATGTAAGTTATGTATCCAAGGATGTTGTCATTGCAAAAGAGGCATCTTTTGTTTCCCTCTGCCTCTGATCTTGCAGATGAAGTTAAGGTTCAGAATATCTTCTGTGTGTCTCCCTTCTGGGTTATGACACTGTGTAGACCACAGAGGGTGGTTACTGGCACTGGGGGGGAACCTTGAAGTCCCATGAAACTACATTGATGTCATAAGACAGAAAATTCTTTATGTGGAAACCACAAGTACTTACGTGTGTTCTAGTCAATCAGCATTTTCAATTTTATTTTCTCATCTGGTCATAGCTGTTGTGTTCATTCAGTACAGTTTAGTTTCGCTCTACATTTGTTGCTTGAGGCACTATGCTACAAGCCTGAAAGTCGCAGGTTCAGATCGTGCCGAGGTCATTGGATTTTTCAATTGACATAGACCTTCCAGTTGCACTGTGGCCCTGAGGTTGACTCAGCCTGTAACAGAAATGAGTACCAGGAATCTTGGGGGGGGGGGGTAAAAAGCAGCTGGCATGTAAGGCTGACAACCTTGCCGCCGTCTGTGGGGCCAGTTCGGGAGCCTCGACCCCTTACAACCCCATGGTCTTCCACGGCCTGTTAACAAGGTTAGCTTTTCTTATCTACATATATTTTCATCCTGTAGTATCATGCCTGTAATTCTTTACTGCCCAGTTTTAGCTAATTGGGACGAGCCTAATGACACTGTTCATTGTTAGTAAAGTAATCGGTTGGTTTATAAAATATGTATTGATCTTTAATCTGCACCAAGCGATCATAACACCTTTGAGAAGGAAGTCTTTGTGAATTAAACTTGTTCTGTTCAGCTGGAGTGTGTTCATTTAACTTTTTTGAGTTGGACACATTCAATTTGTTATGCAAATATGGTGTACTGTTAAAAGAACTCCCCCTGTATTTTATTTAGTTACCTGCAACAGTGAGAGTAGTTCCGTGTAAGAGTGTGGTGATGATATTCCGTTGTCATGCCAGACTGGAGTTTCTGAAGCTGGTTTGATTGTACATTGAATCTGAGCATTCTTACACACAGACATTGCACATTATAAAAATATTTGAAGTATGGGACAAGTGTGTTTGTCCTCTAAACTCTTGGGTCTTATCAAAGTTGTTATGTTGGGCTTCAATACTGCCTTTTTCGCCCTTGAAGCTAGTAGTTTCGTCGGAGAATTGTTGCCAGTGGACCATCAGAGATTCTTTATTTTCTCATATGCATGGCAACAAAGTATTTGAAGAGCTTTTCCATCGTAGGTGCATGCCTGGTGAATATATGAACATTCTAGCTCCGAAAATAGAGGTACTGAAATACAGATTTGTGTTGCTAGATTGAGGTTTGAATGGTTTTGATTAAGTTCCAGTATTTTAGGGGACCATGTCTCTAAGACTGCAGAGGTGGTGTGGTCAGGAATGTAATTCCCTATAGGGGCCCAAAAGTGTACAAGAAAAGATGTGCGGTGACACTGTGCCATTTTCTGTAAATATGATTTATTGGGTTTTTTAAATTTGGCTTTCTGTCTGGCTCCAAAGATTGTTTCTTGGCATTTAGACGTCCATTACATTTCCTGTGTTTTGAGTGACAGCCTGTCGCTAAACTATTTTCTTGTACATGTGCTTGTGTGTACAGATATGTTATTTAGGATTACCTGATGTGCCAGGTTCATAGCAATATTGGCAAGTAGGAAGTGGGGCTCAGCATTTAAAAAATTGCATGTTTTTTTGGACCTAACCAACATAGGAAAGTGTATAGTGCCCAGTGGAAGGTGAATTTTGATGGCCTTCAAAATCACAGCTGATTCATTTACGAGGTGCTATTGGAAAGTTCCCAGAGTGTTATTGTTGTAACTGCCTTGGTGAAAGGATGAGAGGGGAGGCCAAGGTCACACTTCCACAAGCCTAGTGCATCACTGCCATGTTACACTGCGCTGTGAACAAGTATTGTTTGCTTTCTCGACTTTTGTTTTATTTTGTCTGTGAATGATGGCAAAATCAAGCAAAAAGATTTGAACAATCCATGAGCTCGAAGACACCATTGGGATCAATTATGGAGTTTGCCAAGACATTTTAACAGAATTTGAACATATGTCGCATTGCTCCTTCATCACGAGGACATGCCTGCCCACACATCTCTGAAGACCACAGAGTTTGTGACTAACAACAACATGGTTACTGTTCCCTTGTCTCCCTACTCGCCAGACTTAGATCCCTGTGATTTCGCTTTGTTTCCCAAATTGAAAATGGAACCGAAGAAATGACATTTTGAAACAATGTCTGACATCCAAAGGGAATCGCAAGTGGTACTCGACATCATTAAGGAAAATGACATCCACGGTGCTATTAAAGTTTGGAAAAAGGGATGGGATTGCTACTTCCACAAGGGGTCTGTTTTGTAGGAGATGGCAGCCAAAATGAATTTATGCCAGCATTTGTTTTTGACCTAGTCCAGGAACTTTCTGATACACCTCATAACTAACTAAACCTCCCACCTCTTGCTACTGTGACTACCACAGTAATTGACTATTATATGTACTTACCTAATTGTTAATAACTTAATTCTAGATTATAACTGTGTTTCATGAGAAGGGTAGTAGAGGGAACTTCAAGTTTTTGTATTTGTGGTAGGGGGCCGGTGTAAAAAGTAAAGGTATCCCGGTAACAGACTGTAGAGGCCCATAGGGTTGTGAAATGTAGAGGTTCCCACATTTTCTAGATAATCGAATCACAGATGGCAGTGAGGTCAGTCTTACTTGCTGGCCGGGGCCATGCCATAGCTCAAGCAGTTAGTTGCTGGCTTTTCCCACCGCGGCGGACCGGGTTCGATCCCGGGTCTGGTCAAGTGGGATTTGTGGTGGACATAGTGGTGCTGGGGCAGGTTTTTTCCAAGTACTTCGGTTCCCCTGCCAGTCTTCATTCCACAATTGCTCCACAATCACCCTCACCTATCATTTGGGGCTGGTACAATAGGCTAGAAGTGGCCACAGTACAAGGGACTTAGTCCCACCCCACTTGCAATAAAAAATACTCGCCAGCCACCCTTTACACAGAGGACGATTCTTGATACTCATTTCTGTTAGAGGCTGAGTCAACCCCAGGGCCATAATGCGGCCGCAAAGTTTAGGTCAATTGATAAAATTCAGTGACCTCATTGGGACTTGAACCTGTCACCTTCCTGCTTGTAGCATAGTGCCTCAACCAACTACACTACTGTGAGGGGACAAGGGTATAAATTTAAAACTATTGAAAGTTAATTGTCATTTTGGTGAAGTTTTATTTAATTATTGAAATGAAATTTGTTAACACAGGATGAGGAAACAGAAGTCGACAAGGAAGAGAAGCTGGTTGCAGCTCGCAACGAAGAGAATGTGAAGGTGTCTGCTGCAGCTCTTAAAGAGGATACCAGCAGCAGCATAACACCCGTCATAGAGAATATTCCTGTGACCAAACCCACTACGCTTACACTCAGGCATACATACAGAGAGGGTGAGTCTTAACAGTGGTTGCACTACCCTGGAGACTTGCGCGGGTCAGGTACAGAAGGAAGCACACCCTCAGTCAAGCACCCATCCATACATCAGCTTGTTTTCTTTGAAAGACTGTCGTTTGGTGCTGTATTTGTGCACTGAAATGAATATGGAACTAACATGTTCTCTCTGTACGGGATAGTTTTTACCTATTTTAATACATTCTCATTTAAGGGACTCTTTGTGTCCATAATGGAAGATAGACTTGAAAGGATTCTGACGATGGTGTATACCGTACTTCTTTTGGCTTGTTTTGGACTTCATCCGTTGTCTGGTATATAAAAGACAAAAGACCACGGCGTTTCGGAGACTGGATCTGTCTTGTCTTCAGGTGGGTAGGGATGGATAAACCTACTCAGTGGGGCTTATTAGAGAGCTAGTCTGAATCACTGGTCCAGTGAGTAGGTTTATCCTTCCGTACCCACCTGAAGACGGAGACAGATCCAGTCTCAGAGACGTCATGGTCTTTTGTGTTTTACATACCAGATGATGGATGAAGTCCAAAACAAGCCAAAAGAAGTACATACGTAAGATTTTTGCGAGAATATGTATTTTTTTAATTACATCACATTATTATATATGTATTCAAGTACATGTATACAGTATGGCCTTATTTTCAAATTTCACTTCACTCTTGTCACAGGAGTGTATCCTCTTGGCATGTAGCATAAGCAGAGTTGTTTCATTAGTGATTCATTAAGCAGGGATTTACACATTTGTGTGAGGTGTACTTCCTAAGCTTCTAGCCTTGGGGTTCATCAGTTCTGAAGGGTCGAAGAATGTGAAGTACCATCACCTGCTGCTCCCTTTTTGTTAGGTAAATAGAACACTACCTGTTCAAAAATGAAAATAAATACCGTTGAAGCCCTGTTCTTTTATGCTGATTCCAGGATGAGGTGAATGTGGTGCATATGTTGAATACAGAACAAAGTGCCGATGATGAGGGAAAAGTGTTTCAGATATTTCATGATGATACAAAGCTGGAATTCCTCGTTGCTGAGGTGCTTAGTTCTTGAATGATTGTTTTGTTCATGAAGTGTCGGACATGGTGTATGATGTCATATTTGTCTTCTAGACCAATGGAGTCCACTGAATCCGGAAGGAAAGAAAAAGTATGAGCGAGATTTCCTAATGGAGCTTCAGAATGATCCGCAGTCAAAGAAGAAGCCAGACAACTTACCTAACCTTGAAGTGGTATTGAAAGATAACACAAATCGGGTGAGTGACCACATTGTGAGGAAGTGGTTCTGAAAAATAATACGTGCCAGTTTCATTGATTGTGCACACAGGGAACATCTGGTAGGGCTGGTTACTGAACACTGATTAGATTTTGGATTAAGGATGCAGTTTGTGAATCAGTGTGGAGAGGAGTTGCAGTCTGCTCCACATTACAGCATTAGTATTTGGAAATGTAGGTGCTGGGACCAAGTGTTGGAAGCCATTGCATTGAATACTTAGGTTGAGAGCATATATGGCAGTAATAACATAAAGCTGACCCTGTGCCTAATTAAGCACAACGCTGTGGACACATGGGCAAGTGGAGGTGTAGCTCAGAAGAATGCAGAAGGGGTACTAGAAGAGAGAGTTCAGAAAAGTTTGACTTAGACACTTCTGTTTATTGTACTTGTATTTGTTAATGTGCATGATGTGCTGTAACTTCATTTTATCAGTGGTGGCTGTTTGTTAGCTATGGTGACAACATAGGTTTTAGTATGTGAGTAGCGGGGTTGCTTCTATGTGTGAGAGGAGGTTCTAGTCCAGTAGTCAACAGAAGCACTCAGTTTATATAGCGTGTCAAGTTTCGCTCTTACTATGTAGTTTTATGCACATGAATTTGTCATCTGCTGGACCAGGGTGAGCGATCTGAATTTCAAGAAGCAAATGTGCATGCCATTAAAACCAAAAGGTGGAAATACTTGAGTAATCACCTGCCAGCCAGTATTGTTTGGAAAGTGCAGTTTGCAGTGTCTGTAATGAAGTTTCGTGAGTGGTACAAATTTCAAATAAACTGTTCACAGCAACGGATGGCAGATCGGCCATTCTCCAACATGAACAGGCCTGTCCCTGACAGGTCAACCCATGATAATTTTACTCCTGGCTTCATGAGGACATCCAACTCTCGAGGGGTATGTTTTTCTGAAATTGTTTTGCTTGAAAAGCACTTCTCATAAATTTGTGCACATGAATTATTTCCATGTTGCAGTATGTGTGTGCATGAGCATGCTTATTGCAAACTAGTGGTAAGGAGCAGGAAATTCTTTTGAACTAACTTATGTAGAGTATTAGCTTCTGGGATGTGACACCATGTAGTCTTGTAGTTATTTACTGGTGTTTTGGAGGAGTGTGTGTACTTCCAAGAGACTACGTTGTGTTACATTCCAGAAGTTAGTACTCTGCAAGGTCCTACCATAAGAATCTCAAATCTAGTGATCACCAGTCCTTAAGTGTACCACAGTGATATTTAAAGGACACAAGTGCAGCGTCTGTGTGAGTCAGGGTATGTTATACCTTGTGTAGGCAACTTAGGGAACAGAATTGTTGTTGTATATGTACGTCTTCTGGTTTCTCAAGGCCATGCGAGTACAGGAAGTATGTTGAATGAACCTTAGTAACATTGTATCGTAGCATCCTGTTTCACATTACTTATTTATTTCTGTTAGTTGTTAGCAATCTCACATGCAGCTTGCTTTTTGAAACCCTTAATAAAATCTTTTCTACATCAGTGGTGGGTCACACTGCGTGTGTCAGCCAGCATTGGTTGATCATCATAAGGTGTGATGTAGGAGAGATTTTAACTTTGAAAACTTTTAAAGGTTTAAAAAGGAAGTTGCATGTGAAATGGCTGATAACTAACAGGAAAAAGTGAGTCGTGGTAACGTCATAGTGATGAGATAGTTATTTGTCTCTCTGGTAATCTCAGAACAAGAGACAGTAAAACCTACGTGTAATGTTTCTTGATACGGCTTCCTCTCATGTGACAGTCACCTCCACATAAGTGTTCAGGTCCACTGCTCTCCAAATAAGCCTTAAGAGGGCGGTTTGCTGTGTTTTGTAGGAATGAAATCTTTTGAACTTACATGATGTTCTCTTTGTATCACGAGCAGCCTGTAGCAAAGAGAAATAGTCAGCAAGGCAAGGCAAAGCCCAACAAACCTGTGATACATATGACGCTTTCACTCAAGGAAGACGTGAAATTACGGGAGACCGAAAATGCGTGGAAACCCGATAGAATGAAGCAAGCCTCCACCAATGAAGAAGATGCAAAGACTGAGGTATGTATCAGGAGCTCTTTTCTGTTTGTTCCGGACATGTGGAAGTAGTGAGCAAAGGAAATGTGTTAACCTCAATATCAGCCACCAGGTTTTGTGATTTGTGCATGGTGTCATGAAGCCTAAATAAAATCCACTGGTCTTATTATTATTCTCTTATTATTTAGGAGTCATAATGGCTAATGGTGTCTCGTTTTGTTAGTTAGTATATATACTTGTAGGCGTGTTAGTAAGTACTAGAAGTGATAACCTGGTGAAGAAATCTTTTGCCCATTTGCTTTAATTTTCTGGGATTATGTAAGTAGTTGGCTGGCCAAGTGCATGGCATACTGGTTAAACTGTGGAGTCATGTTAGGGGCTGAAATTGAATTTCATTATGTGGAGAAACACGTTTGGAAATTCGCTGAGTTTCATATTCATTAGTTTCTGTTTATGTAACAGTGTTGTTGGAATGAGCTTTTCTTAATGCTTCTTACCACTCTGCACTATTCATTTCTGACTGGGTTGATTTGTGATTTCAAGAAAATAATAAGGATATCGTAGTCGAGACTGTGATGAAACTCGGCAAGGCAGTGAGACCATGCATAATGTTTTCGTTTTCACATTGCTATTTCAGGTGCCATGATCTCTCTTGTAGGCAACATCCTCATAAACCAGATGTGGGATAAGCTGGATCAGAATATGAAAAATGGAAAATTCTGTTCACAGTGGAGTATATACTTTAAAAGAAACCTGACATTTAGGTGTCAGAGTACCTTCAGACTCTGTAGAGGGCAGCTGGAGAGATGAAACCACTCAAGAAAATATCGAAGACTGTCTTGAGCTGGATGAAGGGGGCCCTGAATTTTAACTTCTGACAGGACGAAATTGCTGCAATGATTTTTTTTAAATTGTTTACATCATCATTACCTATATGTCAGTTTTCCACGCGTTTGTTTTCTGAAAATTTTCCTTGTCTTAGGGCTCTCTTTTGCTTCATTAACCTGGACATTGGGTTAATCTGGATGACCTTCCTGTCCATTAATGCAGATTAGCGACAGAAAGCCTGCCACTTCCTGCGCCTTCTCTTTATGTACAATAGAAGCTGATATCCACAGTGTTAGTACATGTAATGAGAGTAGCTGCATGTTACAGGAGCTGTACAAGAAGGTGCGTGGCGTGCTGAACAAACTTACACCGCAGAAATTTAGCACATTGGTATCTCAGGTCCAGGCATTGCCAATTGACAGCATTGAACGTCTGCAGGGTGTCATCAACCTTGTATTTGAAAAGGTGAGATGGGTAGCTGTCTGTGGTGCTGTCATAGTGATCAGACGTGAAAATTCCATACAATTGTAATGTATTATGCTTATAATTGTAAGCTCCCAATTGTCTAGCACATTTTGGAATAGAGTGAGCCAGTTGCATGATGAAAACTTACATAGATCCGTATTTTCCCTGTTTCTCTGGCTTAACAGGTTTGTAGTTTACTTGTGGGGGTCTTCTTAGGTGAGATAGGGCATTGGATGGTGAAAAACTTTTGATACACAGTGATGTATTTGCGAGTTCAGCTGGCCCCTACTATAATCACATTTGCTGCAACCATAACGGCACCTGGTTCAGGGAGCGTGGCAACACTGCTAATGGCAGTTGTGAGAATTACGTTGTGGTAGATGGAAAGGTGTGCCTCACTGTTTTTTTTTTTCAATCTGTGTTAAAATGATAGATTGTTCTTTAAAAAATGCCTTTGGCATTAGAATTCTAGGTCCCTTGGATACCTGTCAATAGATGTATACTGTAGTAATAACGTCGTTGGCCCTCCACACATAAAATTTATCACAGCATGTGATTTTCATTTATTTAAGTCATTGTAAGCCTCCTACATTCATTCATGGGCTGAGCCCTTCTTGAGAAGCTGCCAATTGTACAGCTACTCAAGAACTTACCAGCATTTTATGGAACCCGAAGTTCATTACTGTGTTCACAAGGACCCTCCACTGTTCCATATCATGAACCAGATCAATGTAATCCATGCCATCCCATCCTATCTCTCAAAGAACCATTTTAATATTGTCCACCCACCTATTCCTTGGTCTTCCCACTGGTCTCCTTCCTTCCGGCTTTCCCACCAGTATCCTATACGCATTCCTTCTCTCTCCCATTCATGCTACATGCACTTACCATCTCATCCTCCTTGACTTCATCATTCAAATTATACTTGGAGAAGAGTACAAGTTATGAAGCTCCTCATTATGCAGTTTTCCAACCTCCTGTCACTTCATCTCTGCTCGGTCCAAATATTCTCCTCAACACCCTGTTCTCAAAAACCCTGAGTCTATGTTTGTCCCTTAATGTCAGAGACCAAGTTTCACACCTATGTAGAATCACAGGCAAGACTATAGTTTTATGTATATATGAGCATACAAAAGGTTCTGAACTGAATGGTAGCAAGCATTACCCGAGTTAAGTCGTCTCCTTAGTTTCATCCCGAATGAGGTTCTGATTTGTTATAGTTCCCAAATATCTGAACTCTGCCACATTTTCAAAACATGTGTTTCCAGTCGTTATGTCATGATTTTGCCTTGCATTTTGGTGACGAGGTAGTAACATATACTTAGTTTTCTTTGTGTTTACTTCTAGACCAACCTCCTTACTAGCATCAGTTGAAAATTGTGGTTTTTTCTTTGTGGTCTCTATATTATCACGCAGTAGGTTCAGATCATCAGCATAGACCAACAACTGATGTGTCCCGTTTAATTTCAGTCCCACCTGGTTTTCCTGGACCTACCTAATGGCATATTCTAAAGCAAATTTGAAAAGGGGTGGCAATAAAGCAACTCCTTGTTTTAGACCATTCTGGATAGGAAAATTATCAGACAAATGCTTACCTATAGGGACTTTACCATACGTTTCGTTTAAACACATTTTAATCAGCCTGACTAGTTTCATGGGAACCCCAATCTCTATTAGAATATTGTACAGTACTTCAATTCTAACTGAATCATAGGCTTTCTTGAAGTCTACAAATAACTGATGTACTGTCTCATTGTACTCCCATTATTTCTCCAGTATATGACAAATGCAGAAGATCTGATGTTAGGTGGGTCCCTTGTCACCACGGCATGGCACATATATGGTTGCAGACAGAGGAGGCACCCTCCAGGTATGGAGGGTAGCTGTGAATATATTAAATACACAGTCGTGGACAGCCAACAAAGGTTGGTCCTCCAGCGTTATTGGTTAGGCGTGGGGCTAACGACTTCTCGCTATAAAAAATAAGCTTGTTATGACAATTTGCAATCCGCCATGTACCTGAGGCTCTTTCTCTCGTGGTAAAGTGGCTGGAGCATGAAGCCGACCATTCACCCTCCAACTAGTGCCAAGGTTGAGACAAAATAGGTGTATACATCCACTTCCCATATGTCTTTGCGGTGTAGTGCTTAATTAGTTAAGCACGGATGACTTCACCTTTTACCCAAATTAACTCATTGGTTTGTAGCCTCTTATAGCAGACATATATGTACTGCAACATTTGTGTATAAGCAGAAAGTAGTTATGCCTCACAGATAAGTGTGAGTGAACATGTTATGTGTTGGTATGTACAGGCTGTTGATGAGCCAAACTTCTCCGAAGCATACGCAAACATGTGCAAGGTCTTGTCTATGAGTATGCAGCCCCAGGTGGACCGCAAGAAGGATGAGCCAGAGTTTAGTTTTAGGAAGCTGCTGGTAAACCGTTGCCAGGGGGAGTTCGAGAAGAATTCTCAAGTGGAACTGAATCGAGAAGCCAAACTGAAAGAGATTGAGGAAACTACGGATCCGGTGAGTATTTATATGAATTGACAGGTACATGACATCATGCAGTAGCTCTCACTTTAATATGTGTCCATTGCTGTAGCAGTAATTTATTCTTAACTCCATGTAGTAGATTTGTCAATAAGAAGCAAGCTGATGGTCAATCGGCCACTCGAGGAATTCCCAACATTTTGTGGAGCCTGAAGTTTCCTTACAATGTTAGGCATTTAATTTTGTGACCTTTTTTTTTTTTTTTTTTCCTTGATTGACTTGCTGGCATTTGTGTATGAAGTTCCTGGAAACCTGTTCAGTACCATTGACTATTTCTTTCTGCAGGAAAAGAAAAAAGAACTGCAACTCATTTTTGAAGAGGAGGAGCGAAGAATACGAATGAAATCTGTAGGAAATATTAGGTAAGAGGCTTTTTATCAAGAGTTTGTGAACCTGCAGGATTCCTCAGTGATGTCTGGAAGTAGTGAACTGATATTTGTGAAGTATTAATAGACACTGAGAGGAAATCTGAAATACCAGTTACGTTTTAGCTTATGTTTCTGTGTTATCAAACAAAAGAGGATCGATTTACTAGACTGGGGACCACAGATAATCTTGCTCAGAGGGCTTTGTGTCTGTTTTCTTTTAATGTGTGTTTTTTTGTATCAGGTGTTCATGTAAGGTGTTAATCTTGGTATTGTGTCAGTGGTCTAAATGCATAATCGTTGGGTTTTCATGCTCCTTGGCTGTATGGTCTGTGTCTTACTAGAGAATCCATTCTTTAATCCCATCTCTAAGCTTAAATACATAACCACATTACAGTATTGAGGTGTAAGAAAACTTGTATCTGGTTATGAGGGAGATATGCTAATAGTGAATAAGAGAGCAATGTTCCCTGCATCTTTAGCTTTATCCAGAATTAGAAGTTACAAATTTTCTCGTGCATCTGTAACATGCAACTGAACTCTTCAGAAGCAGAAGTCCGAAGCCCTCTTTTCTGCATGTCTGCAGTGTCCAAAGTTAGCGAGATGTATTACAAAATACAGTATGTTATGGGTCAGTTTTAAATTTGGCAGAATTTTCAAACAATCTGTGCATGTTTAATGCCTCCTCTTGCTTTGAAACCATGAAGAGACTCATTTGGAATACTATCTTTTAGGATGCTATAAAGTGTTCTGCTTATGCTGTGTTTGTTGAACTGTTAGCCAGTATGACATTAGTTTGTCCTGGAAGAAGCACTTGAATGCAAATTCCAGATCCTTGTTCTGTCCACTCTGCTTTTTGTCAGTCATATTTTCCTATTTCAGTCCTTTACAAGCTACCAGTTTCATACGGGTGTGTTTTTCAGGCCTAATGTTTTGTTACCGTAATTGTGGTTGGACACTTGTGTCTCACTGACATTCCACAGTTGCAGAAGGATTTGCATCTCCCATTCACTAGCTGTGTGACACAATATACAAGCTATAGGCTATTCATGGAACTTAAGTAACTCATATATTATTGAGACCACAATGTTTTGACATCTTGTGATGATAATGACGCCAATTTCACCATATGTTTTGTATGTTCTCCTTCTCAAAGGTATATACTGCTTTATATTGACTTACACCATGGTTAATCAGGTAGCAACTGAGATATTTGTTGCCATGTTGCAGGTTTATTGGTGAATTGTTCAAGTTAGGGATGCTTACAACAAATATAATGCAACGGTGTATCAAGCATCTTCTTGATGCACAAGATGAAGAATCATTGGAGTGTTTATGTAAACTGCTCACGACAGTTGGGAAGGAGCTTGAGAACAAGAAACAGGTATGTTGTGATATTGTTCTGTTAGTCTGACTCATGTCGTGTTGGCTAAGTTGCTGCTGGCTGCTACCAGGGAAGGAATTCCTTGGGACTCATGATAACCATATTGTTCCGGTAGTCCAAACATGTAATTCTGTGTTTTATAGCCTCATCTCTATCCTTGTACTTAGCACACAGACACGGCTTTGGCTTTCCAGTGTAGGAATTTTTGGGCTTAAAGTTCCATTAAATTAAATTAACACGTATTATATTGTCACATGGTTGCTTTGTGAACGCTCTTTATACACTGGTAACACATTTTTGTCTCATCCGTTGTTACTCAGCGGCCTTCTGTTGTTCAATTCCGGGGAAACTTTGCTTCATTGATTCTGCAATTGTCTACACAACGGCTTGCGGTTTTTGCGTTACCATGGAAATATCTACTCCAAACACGTTACATTGCTCCTTTCTAAAGGTTGTGCGTCCCGAACAGCCTAATGGTGCTTCCTAAGGTGTTCATCTTCCGTGTGTTACCTCCGCCTTTTCTTCGGTGTTTTATCTTCCTTCCATCTGCCCCCCCCCCTTCTTCCAGAGTGCTCACCCCAAGCACTTCCATGGTCCATGTGGTTGTGTGCCCCATTGTCTCACATTGTTTCTTCGTTCACCCTTGCGGGGGAGGCTGGTACGTTCACGTTACCAGTTCTTCCCATGTGGGCCGTTTCCCTTTTTTCGTTTTGGAGGTGTTCAGCCTCTCCACAAGATCCACTTCTTGACATTCTTTGGTGGGACAGGAGATTTGGTAATTAGCTTCCCGGTCTCATGCCTGGTCATTTTTTTGTAGGGCTCGATCCATGTTTCTCTTGTTGCATTGTGGTTGTGCCTGTTGTCTCTTCCGAGTGTCCACCCTTTCCGTGTTGCTCATACCGCATTATCCCTGGCACGAAATTTCCTGATGGTATTATCCTTGCCCCGTGCCACTCCTGCACGGTTGGTCATCCTAGTTCTAGGAGCGACCAGTTCTGTCTGTGGGTGACACTGTTCCTGGGTAATGTACAACTTTATGACATCTTGTTGGCTTCCTGCTTTTGCCATGCCACTGTTGCATGGTGGCTCGTCCCTCTGTGAGCGACGACCAATTTCTTGTGGGATTTACAATTTCCCTTTGTTGAATGCTTTGCTTTCTGGCGGTGGCGCTCTGTGGCCAGTTTTAGGTCCCTACGCATTTTCTTCTTCGGTTCTCTGACTGGCATTACTTCGGCATCTACTATGGATACCTCTTCTTTCTGTGTAGCCTCAGGATTCCTGCCCAGTGAGGCCGACTTCTCATCTCGACATGCCTCCATTTCTTGGCAGGCCAACGTCTCATTGTGGCTGGCATTTATCTTTTCTCGCCAGGATCTCCAATTGGCAATCATTTGTGCATGTCTGGCTTCCGCCTTTGCCTGGTTGGCATCCGGCTTTGCTTGCATGGCTCTGAATTCCTTCAACAGCAGTTCCATCATCTGCTGTGACTCCGTTTTAGCTCATGTGTAAGTCCAATCTTTTAAATTAGTCGAGGCGTGTTCAAGGTCGTAAATTACTTCTGACACCAGTTGTCACGTGTTGGTTATGTCACGCGACAAATAACTTCGTGTGAATCTCGGATTTAGCGGATCTTTATTGGATACTTACTTCTGCCCTCTTTACAATTGTTATCACTTCAACTTTATTCTGCGGCGGCTATCTTTGAAATGTGTCATATGGCGACCAGGTTCCAACTGTCTTGTATGTCTGTAGCTCTCAGCTTATGTAGGTGTTCTGTGGACTAAGTAGAGGACACCTCTTGCCAAGGTTCGGTCTCATGTGTTCGGCGATCCGTTGCTTTGGGAATGCTCTTTGTACACTGGTAACGAGTTTCATCTCATCCGTTGTTGCTCAACGGCCTTATGTTGTTCATCTCTGGGGAAATGCTGCTTCGTTGATTCTGCAATTGTCTACGCAACTGCTTGCTGTTGTTGCATTACCATGGAAGTATCTACTCCGAACACGTTGCAATATGTACACCTCAAATTTTGGGGTTTATGACTGAAAATTAATAGCCACTCTTCTGGCATTCTCTGCCAAGCAAGTTTCTTCTGAAATGTGACAGTAACCAGAGCGGAGCACTCCTGTCTGATCTTGACAGGGTTCCGGCGCTGTGTGATTTGGATAAAATGTTAAGGTTTGTGAATGCTATGGAAGCTCAAATCCTAAATCAGCAATTTCTGTTGTAATGCTCTGGTGGCTGGAATTGTAACTATCCATTTGCTTTTACATTGCTGTTTTATTTTATGTCTCTCTATTGAATGTATAATGGAGACAGTGGAATTGTGGCATAATAGCTGTTAAAACGTTGAAATTGGGTCTGAGCCTTGAGCCTCAGAAGTTTATCCATATGAATTCAACTTCTGTCTTCTTGTCTCACCCATTCCCTGTTTGTGTACCAAGTAGTTGGTATGCACTGCGTCTAAATTGTGTCTAAGCGTGTGTTGTCATCGGATGTCATGAGTCATTGTATCATCACTAGCAGATTGCTAGAATCGGTTTTCAGCATGTGATGGACTAGTAATCTTCTAAGGTGGTACACTCCATGTCTTCATGCTAGTTTTTGACCGATGGTTTTACATGGTGCTTGGCTAACCACTGTTCACACATGTGCGTTGATGTCCCGATTACATATTGTGATAGTAACCTGAGCCCCTACGTACCATGTGCCTTCTGGTAAAGGTGTGTTTATTTTGTGTAGAAATGTGATCAGCCTCTGTGTGATATAAGTCATTGTGTCGCTGTGATGATTTCATATACTGACTGCAAATGGTAAGAGACAGGTTGTACAGCATGTGACTTGTCGGTACCAGGCTCTTTGATAATCTTTTGCAAACAGGAAGTTTGTAATGACAAGCTTTCCTCGGCAGTATGTGTGAGCACTGATTTTCAGTCTGATGAGAAAAAGATACCTTCTTCCTTTTTGTTCTTACTCTGTCTTAGGATCCATTGTGCTTGTGAGTGATTGATTAGGATCATCCTGAACAGAAGCATATTCTGAAATTATGTATTTTAGTGTGAGTTCAGATTAAAGCTCTGTTGGACATGGTTCAGCATATGTATGGCAGTTAATAAGAGAATTTATGAAAAAAAAAAAGAAGAAGAAACATTAACATGTTCATACCTGGAAATAAATAAAAGTAGTATGCCTAATTTCGTGTGAAGACTTTAACTTCCGTGAATTTCATAGAGACGATGTGAGAGAAATGTCTGGTTTCAGATGTTATCTCTGTAACCAGTTAGGTGTACTGCAAGATGGTGACTTGATTTTGTGTTTGCAGGACCTGTCAGAATGCTTCAATAAGATGAAGGAAATTTCTGCGAAGAAGGGTGAGGTCTCAAGTAGGGTAAGGTTCATGTTGCGGGATGTAATCGACTTACGGCATGGCAAGTGGATCCCTAGAAGAAAGGATTTAAATCCCAAGACCATGGAACAGATCCAGAAGGAAGCAGAGAAAGAGACCTTAGATCAGCAGTTGCTGTTAAATTCTGCACCTCAGGGATCCCGTGCGCAAGACGATAGATTTCAGTCAAACAGGAGGAACAGTGAGTACTTAGGCGTGATTCAGAACGTTTTTCCCAGATTTTTGCACAAGCTGTTGTATGTTTACTGTCTCTAAACTGAAATTGCAGATGTTTTGTTTCATCTATGAATATTTTTGTGGGATTTAATCTCCCTCTTTCTCCTTGTGTTTGCATGCACGCGTTTATGTGTCATCTGACTCCATGATTTTATAAATTAGGAAATTTACATTTATCATGCAGGTTGATATTGTTTTGTCCCAGTTTCATATGTATAATTCCAATATAGACAGGTGAACCAGACGAAGACTTGCTCAGAAATTCTCTTCTTTACATACGATACATATACATGCCTTTTCAAGGTGTTGTAAAAAAAATTCTTTTTATGTTTCAGTCAAAGAACAGATAATTCTTGCGTAGCGGATAGAATTCAGGGACAGTATATGTAATAGTATAGTCTCTTCTTGGACTTTAAATTATTTATTCTGATAGTTCATAATTGTTGTAGATGAGGAACTGTGATGTTTTTGTTGCTCCTCAGGAGGAGGAGGAGGTGGCCTGAGTGAAGACGGGTGGAACAAGGTGAACGTTCGGACATCCCGGTGCACAGTGGACACTACAAAATTGAAGGCTGCCAAGGAAGATACTGCAATTGTACTGGGTAATGTTGGCCAGTTTAGGGAATGGAGTGGTGGGGCAAATACAAAGGGCAAGGATGCAAGCAAGAGACCTGTAACTTCTGGCGGTAATCCCACGTACAGTCAGAATATGTATGCAGCACTTGACACTTCCACTGAAGATGGGAAGAGGCCTCTGCCCTTATCCAGGTACAGTCCTGTTGTGATCTGTAATATAATTATGATTTGTTATTCATTTCCTCATATTTTTAGCCCTTTGTATTTCTCTGGTACTGTGTCCAACATCTGGGGAAGGACCAAAATCAGCACAGCATAGAGAAACAAATTGTATATATAGAAATAAATTTGGTCCTTGTGGTTTTGTTGTAAAATCGAATTGTCCTAGGAGGCAATCCTCTTGTATCCAGACATCCCGGGTAAATTTGCAGTTCTGTACAACATGAGTCAACTGATTTGAAATTCAAAATGAATTTTGTGGGTTGGAATGTTATATAGTGATGCAATTTGGATCTAAAACGCTTGGTGTCTCATGTGTTGAACTAATGTCTGGATGAAATAAATTCATACCTATTGGTTCAAGAGGGCACACTCACTCTCTGATGAAAGGTAAATAAGTTGGTGTGGTTCTAGAGGAAATTTGTGGATACATAGATTTGCTAGGTAGCTGAGACTGAAGTGTAATTTTGCCTGTCGTTCTGTATGGGTGTGAAAGTTGGTCTCTGACATTAAGGGAGGATGGAGAGAACTGCACGGTGAGGAGCCTTGTAACTTGTACTCTCCTCCAAGTATAATTAGAATGATCAAGTCAATGAGAATGAGGTGGGCAGGGCATGTAGCACGAATTGGGGAGACAAGGAATGTGTATATGATATTGGTTGGAAAGCCAGAAGGAAAGAGACCACTGGGAAGACCAAGGCGTAGGTGGGTGGACAATATTAAAAGGGATCTCAGAGAGCTAGGATGGGATGGTGTTGAGTGGATTGATCTGGCTCAGGATAGGGACCAGTGGAGGGTACTTGTGAACATGGTGATGAACCTTCCGGTTCCATAAATGCTGGGAAATTCTTGAGTAGCTGCAGAATTGGCGGCTCCTCCAGAAGGGCTCAGCTCCATGACTAAGTAAGTAAGTAAGTAAGTAAGCTGTGATCGAAGAACAGGAAGGAAATGTGCTGCTGCACTTGTTGTGTATGTGAGTGACTGTCATTGTGGCTTCTGACAATGGCCCACATGGCTACGTGGACTGGAAGAAATTGTTTATGATAGTCGGAGACCAACATTTACTATCGGCAGAACCATAGACACTAAAGTGGGCTCTATTTTCATCTGCACCAACTGGGAATTTTGTTTTTCGCAGCTGCAGCGAGTACAGACAGACAGGCAGGCAGGCATGGCTGTTATGCTTCAGGATCGTAGTCATCCTGCAGATGTTGGGGAAAGGATATGGTGCTTAATTACCAAAAAAAAAAAAACAGCAGTTTCTTCTTTATGTAAAAGCATGTCACAGTATATTGCTTGGTGTCATGACATGTTTGGCGAGGAAAGGGAATTTCCAGCTTGCCTTTACTCAATATAGACTTTGCCAATCCTGGAGAATCCCCATTAGGGTTATTCTGAAGTCGAATTCGGCACATGGAGCTGTGCTGGAGGTTGGTTGGAATCAGAAGCCACATACAGTCAGTGCAGTATTTGCCCAGCAGACACTTCGATCATTGTGGAATAGAGTTCTTGATGGTTTGTGGTTCAGGAGTCCTGTTACTGTTTTGTATATTTTGGTGGAATATAGCACAGTTTTTGTCCGTGGCATGTTCCTCTGTAAGTGGGAATACAGAACTGAATCTGAAAATGGTTTTGTTCCAGTTCTCGACCAGGTCCAGGCAAGACGACGCCTTCCCCATCTATGGAAAAAGAACAGATGTTATTGGGCAGAACCCGAGCAGAAGGTTAGCCACCATTATTATAAAAACATTGAGAAAGAAATGTATATTTTATATTGGGAATATATGTTTCGTACGCAAGATGGTCCTAATATTATATCGATTACCTATCTGTTTAAACTTTTCAGACACATCCTTCACATATGGAATATAAACAGAATACAGAGGGCTTTCCTCTTTCTTCGGACGACTACTGCCCTTGGAATTAATGACAGAGTCAATAAAACCTTTGGGATAACCGTTCAACTGAAGATCGTGTCTCACGTTAATTTCTCTGACCAAATCTCGTTGATCTTGGCATATGGTAGAGGCTCGGTCGTGGAGACTTTTTATCAAGCCTCTTCCGTACGAAACACACACTTAGGAACTTCCTTATGAAAACTAGACCGAAGAGATCCGCAACAGACGGCACAGTGCGTCTATAGCATTCCCTGTGAATGTGGCAGAAGCTACATTGGCGAAACAGGCAGACCTCTGGCTGTGCGGCTCCGGGAGCATAGGCATAACCTAAAAGAAGGTCTTCTAGAAAAATCTAAACTAGCCCAACATGCCTATGAAGAGGGACATAGGGTAGGCTGGGATGAAGCTAAGATTTTGGATATTGAAAGCCACATCAGGTATAGGAAATACAAGGAAGCGGCCCATATGGCATGCTCGGCCAACCCAATTAGCCAACCCAGTTTGGACTTTTCTCCCATTTGGATCCCCATTATCAGCAATGAAGTCACCAATTCACATAGAAGATCTGTATGACGTGATATATGCTTTTATTTATTTCTATTAAGTTCTAAATTAGATAGACGTGATTTACTCCACTGTTGACGCTAGTTAGACACTATTTGTTACTAGTTCTTCTTTCTATTCCATTCCGTGGGGTCATGGACCTGGTTATGAGTTTAGTTTCGTGGCATAAATTTCTACAGATCTGTCTATCCTGGTTCCACGCTTGTAAGTGTTTGCTACAATTTGTTAGGAATATATTTCTTATTAGCTCTCATGGACTTAGCCTGGTCTCAGGTATTTATATTCTTCATGTTTTGTGACATTGGTTTGTCCAGTGATTGAGGCTAGCTTTTTCTAACGGACCCAACTGAATAGGTGTTTTCCTTCACCTGAGGATGGAAACAGATCCAGTTTTCGAAACGTGCTGTTTTTATTTATCTTAAAAACCAGGAGGATGGATAAAGTCCAAAACCCAACATATCAGTGTGTTATACACCATCGTCAAAATCCTATAGTAACTACTTCTAATTATAATAGCCTTGTACTCACGGAAAAGTGTTCATTGGTCATAGTAATTGCATTTTTTGAAAGTTGTACAGTTGTACCTGGCAAATGGACTTGGAAAATGTCAAAAGAATTCAATTCCCCCCCCCCCTCACAATGAGCAAGATTTTTTGTTTTGTAGATTATGCACCTATGTGAAAGATTAGTTTTGAGTTGGTTGTAATATAGTTTTCTTGATTGTGGCCTTTGTCTCAAGTGTGTGAAACTCCTGTCATGACTAGTATTGGTGAGGAAAATGTCAGCAGTAGTGTGATCTCCATCTGCTGTATTGTAAATAGGAAATAAGGACAAGTTGAAACAGAGAAACGTCTTGTGGAGTCAACTTTTGTGTGCACTGGTGCTGACTTTGTAATGGCAGGAATAAGTTTGGCTCAGTGCACTGACCAATTGTAATATATTTCAGGAGACGGGCGGCAGTCTAGGAGCAGTATGTCTAGATCATCATCACGTGATAACTCTGCCAGGAGAGCAGGTGATGAGCCATCCTCGTTGAGACCCTACGTCCCCCCGTCCCGGTCACCCATGAGATCTGCCAGTACTGAGGATTTTAGCGGTAGTGGAGCTGTATCTGGCAGAAAGAATCCTGTGGTTTCTGAACGTCCACTCAGTATAGAAGAAGTCCAGAAGAAGATGTCTGTGGCCCTGGAAGAGTTCCTTTGTAATTTTAATTACGAGGTATTTGCCTATGTTCATTCAGTGTCAAAATGTGGCCACAAATTGAGTATGTTGTATTTTGTCAGAAATGTCAGTCATCAGATGGTGACAACTGTTATGTCTTCTTTAGAAGGCAATTGGAGATCTAATTGAACATAGGGCTTTAGTTTAGTCTGTAAGGTTGCCTACTTCATGAATGGAGAGCTGTCAAGGTAGAGATTTTAGGAAGTAGTTTTATCCATGCAAAAGTTTTATCAGTAAATTAAAATATTTATAATATCACTAATATTGTTCTTTTGAAAATTAGGTGAAGGTTGTGTATTCATGGCTGTTGGAAAAAAAGAAAATATTCTTAAGTGAAGGCCATTTGGAGAAAAGGATTCAAACTAAACTATGGAAATTGACACAATTTTGAATTACTTAGCTTCTTGAGCTAAGTGAAGAGTTTGGAAATTTTGGAAAGACTGGTAAGGGAAGGAGAAATTCATATTGTATGTTGGGTTGGGTAAGGAAATTAATATAATGCTCTTATATCCTGCAGGAAAGTGAGACATTGGTGGGGGAGTCATTTCCGGCAGAAAACCTCAATATGTTTGTTCGTGAGAGCCTGAACGATATGCTGGAGCGTTCATCAGCTGGAAGGCAAAGTGTAGGGAAGTTAATGAGCCACCTTGTGAAGGCTGGCGTCATCCCACTTGATATGTACCTTTCTGGGTAAGGCTCTTCTTATTAGCTCTTGTTTTGTGCCTCGCAGTGTGAGGTGCAGATACACTGTCCATGGCCAGGGGATGCAGTTTCTTATAATAATCTGAACGGCATAACAGAGACGTCCATGAACATTTATATTTCTCTGTAACAGTTGCATCTGCACCTGTACTGTTAAGGAAGTTCAATTACAGAACAAAATTAATATTTTTGTTATGCTCAAAAGATTTCTTCTTAATTAGTGCTGTATTTTGGTTGTGTGTGTGTGTGAGTAAGGTGACCACATGTGCAAATGCTTGCTTCATGAAACTGTTGTGTAATGGGTGGTACTGGTTTTCTGTTCCAGGTTAAATGAATTTTTAGAATTTGCAGACGACCTTGCTATAGACGTTCCAAAATTCTGGCCATACGTAGCGGAATTTATGGGTAAGTATGTGCAGTCAGGTTGGGCTACAGTGACTGTATCCATTCTTAGTAAACCTTAACCTGAGATAAAGCTTAGATGCGTGAACGAGAAGCATTGAAGAAAATAAACAAGGGAAAGTTTTTTTTATTGTAATTGTAGCAACATGTAGGTGCCCCACGTATTGGTGGAGCAGGCAAGTGATGAAAAGGTTATGCTGCCATATTTCTCTGTGATGGATTTACAAGCTCAACAGGCCTGATGCAATTCCAGTTTTCATATTCATACATTGTTACACAGGTACACGTGTGTGAGATAATGATTGTGATGTTTGTTACAGTTCCAATGTTTTTGTCCGAGGTGATGTTTTTTTCTGATTTTCGTGAAGTTGCTCATCCAGTGCGTGGCAAACTAATTGTAGACGTTCTGAACCTACTAGTCAAAGAAAAGGTATGAATAACTTTGTATTACTGATGTTTTACAGTGCTTAGGCTCTTTACCTTTAGAAATAACAATCATTTTCATTCATAATTTGGAATCTTTTTGCAGTGTTCTTATTTCTTTGTTTCAGGGACAGGTCTGGATCCGACAGCAATGGGACACGGCCGGCCTCAAGTGGACGGATTTTATCCCTGAGGATGAGGTCAGCGAGTTTGTTAAAAAAAATGTAAGTTGTCATGGGTTATATACTGTAACGTGTTTTGTCTACTGAAGACGCAGTTCAGATTGTTAGTTGGTTTATTTAACAACTTGCAAGTCGTAACTACAAATACTTATAACCCTGTTGCGGTTTTAGTCATTTTACAAACCCCATTCAGTAGTCTCTTCACACTATCTTCAGTAGGCTTCACATATTTATAACGCGGGAGCTATACAAGTCTGTGAATTACACACTCCCAATATAACTGTACTACAGCGCGCACAATCTTGAAGTCACACAATAAGTATTCACAGGCTGACTTCTCAGTTATCGCGAACTATCACGGATTATCACACCTCGTTTCCCCTGTTGCGTAACTAGGCAAACCCAGCAACGGTTAGACATGTCGCAATACGTTATGTAGAAAGGTCATGTGAGCCTAAGAAGATCACCTTGATTAGTACAAGGTTTGGGGCATGTGGGGTCGGTCATTCTTTGTTAGATCAACAGCACACATAAGGACATAACTGAATATTTTAACAGAATTTTGTGAGTTAGTCATTTTGATTTATTGAAATTTGAAGCTCTAAAACTGATTTTATGCAAGACCTATGTTTTTAAAGGTATTCAAGCTAAAAGAATGAATCAGCCTTTCCAGTGATGTGCTTTGTGCCCAAATTCTGTTGACATGGCAGTCCTCAAGAATTTCAGTGTTGCTGACGTGTTTTCAGTATCCATGAAGTTCTAGGTGCATCCTGTTTTCCGTAGAGTTGCAAAATTCTACAGAAGATGAGAAAGTGGGTCTTTTTTTTTAGCCCTACGGCTAGGTTGTGTTCAAGAGTGAGCACATCTGCAATAATGTTGCTGAAAGCGATTCGTAGATTGAATAAATATGACAGCCAAGTGAATTGTGACTTACAGAAGCTGGAATTTACCGTAGATGGTCCAGCATCAGCACCATCTCCTTCTTTAAGCACGCCACTTGAGTGGGACCATGTCCAAGAGAGACTTGAGAAGTTCCTAAAAAAGGAGGAGGCCCCCACTTCCTTTGATCACATCTTTGGTTGGATAGACGTGAGTATCTTCTCAGGCTTTTGATTGCTGTGAGAGTGCTTTGTACCTGATGGTGTGTTAAAGCATGGGGAATTGTGTAATCATGTGTTGTGTTGTATTCAACAGGCAAATGTAGGTCACCGAGTAAAGGAGCCTCAGTTTATTCGTGCCTTGATGACTGCAATCTGCTCAAGTGCAATTGAAAGTAAGTGTAGTTGTAATATTAGTTTTATCCAGATACAACACAACCTGAAATCTAGGACACCTGCAACTTCTATTATAAATTACATTACTGTCATCATTTCTACCAGGAATTGTAAATTTTTTTTTTTGGAGTGGGGGCTATAAGTGCAAGTTCCACGTTTGTCTGCATCCATTCAATACCCAAGCAGTGTTTTTATTCAAGGTTATACGATAGGACTGTCCAGCTTTTAGCATTCAGCCTACTGGAGCATTCTTTCATTGCACAAAATATGTGGTAAACCTGTGCCTCTTTTAGAAAAGAGTTGCGGATCTCTTCAAAAATTATGGAAGTGTTTGCTTACTAAATATTGCAAGTAATCGGTTGGTTCTTTCACTGTTCCTAAAAATAATATAACATGTAGGGTTTGTGTGCGTGATTTACACAGGGGTTTTGGACTGGATGATCAGATTTATTGACACCTTGTACATTCCACTGGTAACTACTTGCAATTACAATTGTATTTAGAAGCGACAGTCCACAGAAAACACCTGTTCCTCTGTTTTTTCAGTTTGATTCAGAGCTGCAAAGATGTGTTTACCGCATAGTTTCGTAGCAATGAGGGCAGTGTGGACCCACAGAATGCTGCTTGGAACAACTCTTTTATTGTTATGTGACACGTTCCTCTGCTGTGCGCGTACGGGCCGTTACCTAGCAATAGCTGTTCCTCTGCCTCCATTGTTCTTGCTTTGAGCAAATGTGCCACAGTGTAGTATCGATTTATTGTGAATCCATATACATGCTTCTTCTATCGGGGCAGAGCTATGTTATAATCCTGTAGTTGTCTAGACCTTCACCTCGTCAACAGATCTGCTAGAGTCTTTTTTCATGTACTAGTGGGGAATTTTAGCATACTCACACATGAGGTTATATATGGAAGGTATAATGTGCCCTGGTTCGTGGAGTAGATGGACTTGGTGTGCAGTGTTCATGCAGTCTTAAGGCACGTCCGCATTACTCGTGCTCGTCAGGAGACTCTTCTGGCTTTTACTTGTGTTCGAAAATCTTCGTCCACACTACTTCAGTTTTTCGCCAGTCTTTGGCGCGTGATTATCCATATATTTACTCGTAGTGTGTATAGGCTGTCGTATTTTAATTAATTGGGTATAGTTTTTAAATTAAAAATTTTAAATTTGCTTGCCTTGTGACTTGTCATATCGCCCACATTACTGAGTAATGTGGATGCGCCTTTAGAAAGCTTTCAGTGTCACTGAACTGACAAGATTGAATTCAGATAATTTTTTTGTGTCTAGTTCTTTGTGCTTCATAGATCTGATTATTTAAGGGCAGATATTTGTGTTGGTGTATTGCAAACATGTATTTAATATACATATAATGCAGACTGCACGTTGATTCCTAAAGGATAGTGGTGCCCTGCTGTGCATCATAGGTTGGTATGTAGAGAAGTAGTGTTCTTTACAAGAGTTGAGACAGCGTGAAAACTATGTATGTGTGTATGTGTGCAGGTCAGAAGACATCATTGAAGCTGAATGAAAGACGTTTACAGGATTATAAGAAACTGATGCTGAGGTATGTCGACACCAGCGGTGAACTGGAGGTGCAGTGTTTGTATGCAATTCAGTCCCTCATTAACAAGCTGGAGCATCCACCAGGTAAATTACATTACAGGGCCGTGGACCAGGAACGAGACACTCTAAATGCAGTATGGTTACATTGTATGTCAGATATATAAAATATTCCTAAAGCTTCACTTTATGCACAGAATTTGAAATTATTTGAATCCCCAAAATATAGGCCATAATCATGTGTTTCAAACCTTGTCTTGAATTATGCAAGGTCTTCAGGAGTATATCCTCGCATAAAATGCAACCCCATGGTGTTGCAGTAATTGGCCCTTCTTGTGTGATTTTATGCTCATAAATGCATTGTTAAAAGCTGTCAAGATATAGTGCAAAATAGAGAATTTCACTAGGAATATTGGTTGGACTTTTGAGATTTTTTTTTTAGTCCAGGAATGCTTGTACAAGAGTACAGGTACTGGTTGTGTAAGGCATTAGTTGGTAAGTTGTCATTCTGTTTGGAAGGCTAGCCAACTGACTGTTGTTCTTGCAGGTTTGCTGTGCAACATATTCCAAACGCTTTGGGATTCTTGTATGATATCGAACAATTCGTTTATTGTGTGGCAAAACAGTGAAAACCCAGCTGAACAGGCAGGTAAAGGTGTGGCAATTAAGTCGCTGACAACATTCCTCACGTCCCTTGGTGAGGTGGACGAGGACAGCAGTTGTGAAGAATCATGAGCGAGGCTTCATGTAGTAGCTGGAACCAATGTAATAGAGAAGGAACTGTGAACCTGTGATGCGCCTTACACTACCTTGTGGCACGCTGTTCTGCTCGATGTGTGTCTCCCTATATTATCTTTGACATTCTTGCTGCTAAAGGTGAATCCTTGAGCAGGACTGAAGTGATTCTTTCAAAAGAACATGAAGGTGAAAGAGAAACAGAAACAACAAAAGTCGTGTATAATAATACTAATATTATATTATTGCTTACTATATATAGCATTGTTTTTGTTGAGCGAGTGACTGCAGTGAGTCGACTATATATGAGTTATTATTCTGTGTATGAAAGTGCGTGTGAGAGAGAAGCTAAGTTTTGTACAGTTTAAACAAAATTGGGAAAGTTGAAAAAGGTTCATGTGAAGATGTTGCCAGTTGTACTCCGAGTAACATGGGAAAGTGTTTACAAATGGATTGAAGACTTGGGTTATTAAGAGGGTAATAGGAAAAATGTTAAGGAAAAAATATATAAATAAGAGTTGAAAAAAATATGTATAAACTGTTCTGTTGTTATTACTATGTCTCCTAGTGTTATATATATTTTTTGACTTGTTCAGTTTCTTTTTTTAAGTACTCCTTTTACTGCAACAATTTCACAGAAACTGAAAGCTAATGTACTGGAGAACAAGTTGGGTTTTTTTTTTCTTTCAATGCTTGGCAGCCTTGCGGTCTTCCCTTTCCGTGAGATCAACGTAGGATATCCCATTTGTAACTTAACAGAGATCTTAATTCATGTACCATGCTTAATGAATGAAAAGGAAATACGGGCAGCTATGATGAAGGGTACTAGATTGACAGAATCTCCCAAACCTTGGCTATTGCCACCGAATCAACAGTAAGGATTTAACTAATTTCATTATTGGTGAACTAAATACAAATTTTCTTTGAAATAAAATTTTTATTACATGACTGAGGAAAGGTGGCAAAAACATTCTTGGAAACTATCAGTAAAAATGTTCTACAATTTTGTCTTGTGGAAAGGGAAAAGGCTATTTATGAAACATTATAAACCATATCTAAAATAAAGTGACTCACTTAAAAGTTTTGACAGCCTAGGTGACTTGTCGATGCCTGACCCATGCAGAGTTCTGTTGCGGACCCTCTGGTAATGAGGATGTAGAATATTTCAAATAACTTTCCTTTTACTTATTAAACATAATAAGTATCCTTCCTGTTCCTGATGAGATACTCATATGCCCTATTGTAGGAAATTGTGTAGGTTGATCCAAGAATCACTGAAGTTGTGCAAGATTTACTAAAAGGCCCTGTATATGGTACAGAGCATCTCGTGCTTTACCGTACCAAAGTCCCATTAACTTGTGGAGCAAAATGGCCCCCCCCCCTTTTGTGCTGATACCTTAATTGGGGTGTGTATTAGTTTCTACGCTGGTACGTGTTCATATCCTAAAGTCCTTGTAAGTATATTACAGTTTTTTTTAGCCCAAACTGTTTGCCATGTGAAGTGAACCAGATATCCAACAGAAAGTATTTTGCCATAAATTCCATTGCGAAAGTAATCTTTAAAGTTGCTGCCCTTTCGCTGAGCATTGTTCCATGAAGATGTGAGAGGTCTGACAATCAATAACCCTGCTGGAATACCCTATTCACCAGATCTAGTCCCCAGTCATTTTCTGTTCCCGAAGGTAAAGAAAATATTGAAAGGAGGGCAGTTTGATGGCATCAGAAGTAATATGACAGCTGCTCTGAAGGCTGTTCCACAAAACCAGTTCCAAAATTGTTTTAAAGGGTGGACTAGATGCTGGAATTGGTGCGTAGCTTCCCATCGGGAGTACTTTGAAGGTGACGGAAGTGAAATTCAGTAGTGGGGTAATTTAAGGACAATAGACCACTGTAGGTTGCGGTGCAAGGTGCAGGAAGGCGTACCCCTCATTCATTCATGTAGCAATTTCACTGCGATGAGTTCGCAAACTTTATTGTCAAGCCACACATAGGGGAGTGAAAGTAAGCACCATTCTTAATCTTGGTGCTAGATGGGGGTGAGTGGTCAGCATCACACCCCATGGGAACCAGCCACTGTTAGTGCGTGGATTGGAGTCTGGTTGGGCTTTGGTGTCAGTCGGGATGGTGCAGAGGAAAGAACCCCCCCCCCTGCAAGAAATCATACCTGTTGGTCATTTAGTGCATTGTTATAGTGAATTTTCTCACTTTCCACAGATTACATTATCCTCGTATACATACAGTACATTGCAGTAGCATGTTATCCAAATTTGGAATGGTGTGCTGTAAGAAATAAGTCTTGACTTCATGTGAGAATTTTGAAATAGCATGAATCCTGAAGAATTTTACAAGGCTTATGTATGTGCTTCAAAACGTGTTGAATTATACAAGGTCTTTCCTTAGTCATGCATAAATTATCTCCTTGCCCATTGCTGAGTTGTACTGTCAGATGAGTTTTCTGTAAGTGCTTAATTTATGTGTATCATCTGTAAACAGGTCTCATAATAGAGCTGTCAAGTGGCACCTCCGTCATTGCTACAGATATTTTGCAACTGGCAAGGAGCAGGAACCTAAGCAAGCAATATGCAGATTCTACCTTCCATTTGTTTTACAAATTTATCTGTCCTACTTTTTGACACGTGATGATTTAGCTGCTGATATCGCTAACCTACAGAAAGTTACGCAAGTTTCCGAGTATCTCATAATGTTGGTGACATGTATGCTGGCAGCTGTGTCAGTTTAGCAGGAAACAGATCTGTTACAACACAGGTAAGCAGCATGGCATATTACAGCATTCATTACTTGGGATGTTGGTGCACCCATTTTTCTAAAAAAGGATTATTGTTCATGCATAATACTGCCAAATCTTGCCTAGTGAAAAGAGCTGGCTGGTTTGAGAGTATTTGCACTACACTTTTAGGCAACAATTTCCATTACAAAGTTTGAGGTTCAAATTTCTGTCATCAAATCAGAGTGTAGAACATTATGTGTTTATTTCAGGTAACAGCCCCGTTTTTTCTGTGTGATGTATAGTGGTAAACTACAGTTGAACAGTTTCCAGAACATGGTAAGAGAATAGGTTTTAAAGACTTTCAGTGATACAGGAATTCTATAGAGACTTCCTGAAGTGATTGCTGAGTGGACCTTCATCTGCATAGCCGGCAATTTCCTGTGGGATGACTGCACTTTCTTCAACTGTTGAACAGGGCCGACACATGCATTCTAATGGTGCTTTTGTGTTCACCTGCACACAATTGTTCATAAATGTAAGGAAGTTGAAACAAATGCTGCAGGAATATGATGATATTTTCATTAATCCTAAAACAGTGCACGTTTCTGGCCTTATTCATTAGTTCAAGAAAAATTTGAGGACCATCATTTGTGAATTGATATAGAACAATGATCATTACATCTGCCGCAGCGACCTGGGTCTGGTCAAGTGAGATTTGTGGTAAAGAAAGTGGCACTGGGACAGTTTCCCCCCCCCAAGTACTTCAGTTTCCCCTGCCAATCTTCATTCTACCAAATTCTCCATCATAATCACCCGGGGCAGCTACAATAGGTCAATCAGTGGCTGGCGTGCTGAGTGGACCCAACTGGACTCCACCCCGCACTCTGCAAATTTAAAAAATTTAAAGAAAAATGATCATTATATTTGAAGCCCCATTTTAATTTACTTGAACTGAGCCCTTCTTGAGGAGAAGCCAAATCTGCAGGTACTCAAGAATTTCCCAGCATTTTATGGAACCCAAAGGTTTATTACTATGTTCACAAGAATCTCCCCAGTGGTCCTTATCCTGAGCCAGATGAATCCAATCTACACCATCCCAATCTATCTAAGATCCATTTTAATATTATCCACCCACCTATGCCTTGGTCTTCCCAGTGGTCTCTCTCCTGGCTTTCCCATCAATATTCTATATGCATTCTGCATGCCCTGCCCACCTCATCATCCTTGACCTGATCGTTCTAATTTTACTTGGAGAAGAGTACAAGTCATGAATCTTCTCATTATGCAGGATACATTTTAATGCATAAATTAATTTACAGAGAACGAATGACAAAGACATCTCCTGTATAAATATTTGCAGAGCATGTTGCAAAACTATTGGCTAGTAGAATTTTAAAATAAGTAGTGCCATTAACTGTAAGTGATATACGGTGGAAGGCTGCATCAACATATGCTGGTTACGTGGGCCCGTCATTTTCAAAACTGCAGATCTGAAATTGTGATAAACTCTGGGAATTTGGTTATTCAAGTATCCAGAATTCTCATGCATTTTGCCATTTTAAGAAAGTTGCAGTGAGGTGCTTATGTTTCCCAGCCTGGTCTAGCAGCACACTCTGTCCTCATGCAAATGGTATTACTATAGAGGTTAGTTGAATCTGTGAATGCATTACAGTGTATCAGAAATCCTTCACCAAGCAATCCACTGTTACCTAAGAAGAATTCCATGCCAAAACTGAAATAGGAATGTTGCTTTGACTTTCAAATAGAAAATGGTAGTACTTAACTCTTACACCCCATTCGTTGTATGTACTGGCTAACTAATATGCTGTACATAGTTCTTGAGTACCTCTTTCATCCTTCAAAAGGAACATTCTAGCGCACAGATGTAACCAAGTTATAAATTATGTTAACTTACAAAAAGTGCATGTATGCAGAAGTGAGTCTTGATTAAAGATTAATTCATGCCTTAGGAACAGATGCTTCCCTTATAACCTAATAGGGACCTCCTCTTTATGTGTTACCCTTTACCTGATTCATTTAAAATGCTGGTGCATATTGCTGTTAGCCCCAGTTTTAAATTTTCATAACCACAACTGTGAGAACAAACATCTACAAATTTAACTTGTTATATTTCAATTTCCTACAGCCTCCCAGACTGCAGGTGAGGAAAAGAATCTTCCTTGTAGGTTTAAAGCGAATGGAATAATCTAAGCAATGTAATGAAATTCATGAAGATTTGAGGGTTTTAATCATTTCCTCATATAACTCTGGAACCAAGACTTTGAAATGTCCTAACTGACTTACCTTTCTGAATTTACGCTCTCCAGCTTTGGCTTTTGGGCAGAACAGAGAGACGTTTGCTTCACGCTCCCCACTTTCCTGACAGCACATGCATGAGCGTTCCATCTGCCAGATCTTTGAACCCGATACCTGCAAGTAGGCCACTATTTTGGGGCCGTCATCTGACACCCATGACAGGGTTGAGTAGCCAAAAACTTCTTCACTTCCAGTGCTAGACACTATACTTATCTCTTTAACTGTTTGAATGACAGTTACTTCCAGCATAACAATATTCTGATTTATGTATTCTAATGAATTTCACATCATAGACTTCCATAAATGTAAAGCGCATGGTATTGTGTAATTACATTCATACATATGTGCTCACATCACTAGTTCCTGAGATACTGCTGCAGTGCATATGTGTGTGGCATACAAAGCCTCTTGGTGTGGTAAGGTAAAGGAAAAGTCCCTTTACTTAACTAATTAAGCTCTACAACTTTAAGGCGTATGGGGGAGTGGATATATAGATCCACATTTTCTTGATCTCGGCACTAGCTGAAGGTGAGTGGTCAGCTTCACGCTCCGGCTGCTCTACCTCTGGGGAAAGAGCCTCTTGTAGCTACTGGATAGGAGGTTGGGTGGATTCCAGAGTGGGTCTGGACAACATGGAGAAGAGAAAATCCTTGATCCTTCAGGTACTCGAGCTCCAACCCCTCAGTTATCCAGCCCGTAGCCAGTCACTATACTGACTGTGCTATCCCAGCTGATTGATATCCACAGAAACTATTTTATTAATTTTTTACTGCAAACAGTTGACATTTTGTTCAGCCATGCACAGTGACATGCATTTTTTTAAAGAATCAAGGCAACTGTTTTGATCCAGTTACCTTGATTAGAAGTTACTGATTCATGTTCCAAATATAACAATGTCAATATCAGAAAGAAACAAAATTTCTTTGCTATAACACCATTTAATAAATTGTTGGTTACTAAAATTCCACAAGCATATTCCTTCAGTTTCCATACACTATTAATGAACATGAAAAGCTTACAAAAGTGTATGTGTTATTTAGTGTGTCTCAGAATTTGCTGTTTTCCTTTCATTAGGAGTGTCAGGGATTTTAGCTCATTGTTCTTTTTATTCACCTAGTTTTCTGATTCTTGCTAGAAACATCTTAGTACACAGTCTTAGTCATGTATGTTATTTGTATACTGGACAGATCTCCAGTATTTTTGCTGCTGGTGTTTCTGGCACTGTTAGTGAAAAACAGCTTTTCAGCAGCATATACATCTAAAATATCACAACAAAGACTTCCTATTAGAAACTTTTTTGAGTGCATGGTAATGTGAACTGAGGTTCCAGCAAAATAAATCTACACAACATAGAATATTTACCTTGTAGAATGCTAAAAAGTTGGTGATGTAGTGGGATATCAAGTTTTCAGGTGAGTAAATAAAGTATCTGGCCTGAAGATTTCTGTAGGAACGTATAAAAAAAGAAAAGTTAAGCTGTCCCTGTATCAGGTTGTGGAGGCCCACAGGGTTGTGAGTGGTCGAGGCTCCCACCTTTTCTAGATAATCGGCTCACAGCTGGCGGCGAGAATGTCAGCCTTATGCGCCAGCTGCCTTTTACTCCCAGGAAGATTCCTGGCACACATTTCTGTTAGAGGCTAAGTCGACCCCAGAGCCATAATGCGGCTGGAAGGATTAGGTCAATTGAAAATTCCAGTGACCTCATTGGGATTCAAACCCGTGAACTTACGGGTTGTAGCATAGTGCCTCGACCAACTATGCCACCCTGTGGACCCTCTGTATGAACATGTCTACACTTACAAATGGGAGTCAATGGAAAATCAGGATTCACACTGTGGAGTTTCACATCTCTTCCATAACACAGTAATGTGCTATGTACAAAATATTAGGCTTTTGTATAGGAGTGTGAGACACTAAGGGTTACCTGGAGGTAACTACTGCAGCGACCGGTGCAAGCAAATGATGGGATGGGTTTGGGCACACATCCTGGGTACTGCAGAACATGTATGACTGGCGTCACCTGGCACTCATCCTTTGCTTCCACGAACATAACACAAACCAGTGACAGAAGCAGCACAGCTGAAACAGATGGAAGGTTGTTGTCTCCTAGATTACAGCACTGAATGAGTGGATCACTATGAATAGCAAAGTGAGAAGAATGTAGAAGGCTGTGGTTTTGGCATTTTTATTTTTGCCTGGAGAAACTGAAGATAAACACTGATACCTCAATTTTCTTTTTGCCTGGAAAGACTGAAGATAAACGTTGATACCTCAGCCAGGATAACTCTCCGGCTGCTTCATATCTGGAAGGTACCAGATTTGAAACAGAAATTCAAGTTATACCATTGAAATGTTCAAAGAGACAAGTGAGTGATCAGATATTGCAAAACTACTCATCATATATGTCTTAACTGAGGAATCAAACTATAATTTACTTCAGTATGAAGCAAGTTAGGCTCAGCAATAGAGGGTTGTTATTTATATTTGGGTGTGATTAATTTAAATTCTAGCTAGGGTACTGACTATCCTTGTGCATATTTTACTGCTTCTTCACTTCTTGAGTCAACTTCTGGAAAGAAGTAATATAAGCTATGGTAAATGTAGATGGTAAAGTTGTCCCTCTGTTTAATTAACTGAGCACTATGCCTTGAAGAAGTGGGGTAACATGGGTAAATCTCCACAATTTTGTCTTGGCACTAAATGGAAGTAAGTTGTAAGATTCACATCCCTCCTGCTTTACACTCAGGGAAGGAATCCCTGGTGCCCATTGGATAGATGGCTGGGTGAGCCCTAGAGGTGGTCTGGATGCTGTGGAGAAGAAAAAATCTTTCACCACCGTGGATCGAACATGGGCCATGGTGCTATAGCCTGTTGCTATACTGACTGAGTTATTGTGATACCCAATAAAACCCATGAATGTTGAAAATTTGTTCTACAAACAGAACATGCTTTTTTAATTTAGTGCCTACATTTTACAAAGCCAATACATTATTTGAAGAAAGCATATGGAATGTGAAGTACACATCATATGAAGTGCTACAACTTTACTTAGAAATATATACTTGTGTGATCTTTAGTATAGTAGACTGTAAAATGTCTGTAGGTTTCAATACAAAGTGGTACTCAATGTTCAGTTTACACCAGAATTAATTCTGTTGATAAATCTTTCAAGGGCTCATGGAAGTAAGTTTTGTTACTGTTCATTCATCCAGAATGGTAATATTTGCACACAGCAAACTGTAGATGTGTGTACGCATTGTTACAAGTTCTTTACACTGAGTCCAGCAAGTGTTAGGTCAGAAATGAGATCTGATCTGAGGACTGAAATTTTGACATTATGTTGACTAATCAGGGTTGTTGTATGCTTCAAGGAAAATGGAGTTTTATTGATCAATGGTGGTATGTTGAGTAAGAGGAGATGGCTAAAATGCTCATGAAACAAACCTGCCCCAGTGCCACACTGATTGCCTGGGTACTGAGCTAAGGCATACACAGAGATAAGACACCATCTAACTGCCTGTGCTAATAACAACCTACGAATTATGAAATGAAAGTAGGGCAAGAGCAGAAAGTACTTAATACGAAGTTCTTTCACGTTGCACAAATCAAGTTTATGTCTGATATGTGCTATAGCATCCAGTACTATTATTTATCGTAAAAAACACTTCTGAGGGTGTGTGACTATCAGATAGTGATGCAGATCACTGTCAACACTAGAAACTTACTAGATTCTCTTTTCATCAAATGACTGGAATCAGAATCGCCATACTGGTGATTTTATTGAACATAAAGGACTTTTTTCCATAGCGTTGCCTGCTCAAAGTATGATATACCCTCCAAAGATGTTTCAAATAAAGTGTACTGGACTGCCGTAACACTTGCTCCGCTCTGTGTTTTGTCAGTTTCTCTAAGCGGTGTAACTCGATCACTAATTTTCTACATACCAGTATGTTGTATGTCAGGCTGTTGGCAAGCCATGAGTGCAGAACCTACTTCCCACTTCGCAAGCAAAACAATAAGTGTTCGGACAAGCGTGGTTAGCTGGCATGTTATATATAAGTGTGTAATGATGGTGGGGTGGGTAGGGTTGGATGGTGATGGCTATTGATCTAGGGAAGGCAGTTTGAGGCATGTCAAGAACTTGCAGATTGGTAGTGTAATCGTTTTCCTTTGTTAGTATCATCCTCATGCCCCTAGTAACCTATAGTTCTTGTTTTCATCATAATGCGGTGACATTGTTTCGCTCAATTGAGGCAGAACTTAAATGCATGCATTCACTCTTTCACGATGGGTGAAGTAATCTGCTTGACTATGGTAAGTACAGTAGATATCCTGGCTGATTGCTATGTTTTATCCCTCTTAATTGTTCATAGGTTTCTTTTTATATTCCTCAATGAATATTTGTGAAAGTAGGTGTATCTTATGCCATATAAAATGTTTCCACATTAAGCTGAAATCTATGTAGTAAATGGTCCCCAGAAAGTGACCTTTAACACCTGGAATTTGTATTTATTTTGCAATAAGAGTTTATTTATTTATTTATTTATTTTGTCTCTATTGATCATTGTTACATGATATAATGCCATAACAGTGTCAAATATTATGTCAGGTTTCATTCATTCATTTCATTCATTTATTTCATTTCTGTTAATCCAGGCTGGTACAACCATTGGATATAGAGGAAGTCAAAGAACATTCAGTCATAAAAAGATTTTGTCAAAATTAAATATAAGATTAACAAGCAAATATAAATATTACAAGGTAACAATTTAAAAAATTATAAATATAGATAATATTTTGAATTAATAAACAGATAAAACAATTCAAATTATCTAACTTTGTACATAAAAAGTTATCCACTATATAAAACGAAATGAAATTTTAATACCATATTAGCACATCTATTACCACACTCAAGTCATGGAAAGTTCAATCATTTTATAAAAGTGTGCTAATTAATAGAGGTACAACCACAAAACTACTTGAGCATAAAATACTACCAGTTTGTAATTAGAAGTCATAGAACAAGAAAAAGATAATAAATGACCATAAAATGTAACAACGATTTTATGCTGTCTAGGTGGTTAACTAGTTTTATGCTTAAGAAACTCATCAACAGTGTAAAAAGAATGCTCATATAAATATTTTTGTAATGCTCTCTTAAAACTTTTAATGTCACATGCCAATACTTTAATATTATCTGGAAGATGATTATAAATCTTGACACCTGCATAAGCAGGACTTTTATGAAACATTGTTAGATGAGTCGTTTGTTGGAAAAAATTGGAATTATTCCTAGTATTGAAACTATGAATCTCAGAATTTTGTCTGAACGACGTTTTGTTTGCAATCACAAACAGAGCTAAGGACAATATGTACTGTGAGGCCAGAGGTAATATATTTAATATTTTAAAGAAATTTCCGCAGGAATCCCTAGGTCTTGCCTTCATTAGTATTCTAACCATTCGCTTTTGAAGTTTAAAAAAAATTGAGCTATATGAAGAGGTTCCCCAAAAAATCAATCCGCATGACATAACTGAATGAAAATACGCATGATAAATCATCTTAAGGGAGTTCAATGATACAAAAGGTCTAATTACTCTTGCACCATAACAAGCTTTAGTGAGTTTAACAGCCAAATTTTCAATATGAGCCTACCAAGACATATTATTATGTAATACCAACCCCAAAAACTTTAATTCAGTAGTATTTGAAATATGGGAATGATCATGAACGATGACCAAGATTTCAATAATGAAAGCATCATTTAATAATCTTCAATGGTGAGTCATGATGGATTTGAGAGAAAAAGAATGTGACCTATTTCAGGAAGCTATAGCAGCAGTGTCTTCCAGAGACCAAGGAAATTCACCATAAAATATTATTTATGGTAGCCAATTCCTTGGCTGAGGTTCAAACCAAATACCTCCAAAACATATGTCACATAAATTACTGCTGTATTAATATACTTCATTATAATAAATTACAAAGGAAGTAGGGAGTTGTCTGTTTATGGAGATGTCACTGTTTTACATAATTTACTCCATGCTTTGACACAATTCAATCATAATAAATTATTTACATATTATTTATTGGAACATTTTTTCAGTACAGCCCATGTTAGTTTACAACTAAATACCGAGTTCAGTAAATATGTGATGATATAATTTTTTAAAATTGTACTTAAGAAGATTAGATGGACAATGGACAGGCCATATAGCACAATATGGGGAGAAGAGGAATACACACAGGGTTTTGGTGGGAAAGCCAGATAAAGGAGACCACTAAGATGCCCTAGATATAGGAGGGAAGATAATATTAAAATAAATCTTAGAGGAATCCCACTTGACCAGGCCCAGGATAGAATCTGGGCCGCCACAGTGGGAAGGCAGCGACTAATCACTTGAGCTATGGCGCATCCTCCAGACCAATAGGAAAACACGACCTCCAACAATTCTTCAACTTGTATACATACATGACTACTGGGGGATTGGTCATGGAGTGCATATGTGGCCATCAGTGACTGATGTTTAACACTGCCTAGCGACGAATGCCTACAACATTCCTGTGACTCCAAGATTCTGACTTGTAAACATCATGTCACAATATATTATAGATCTACAAAATGGCTTCTAGCAATCCTAAACTTCAAGGTCTGACTGCAGCAAGCCAAGCTACACAATATCAACCACCAACAGAGCAGAAACTGCTTCCAAAATTTCAAGTATCTAGGAAGGCAGTGAAAACAACGAAGATCTCTCTAAATCTATATGAAACAAATTTTTAAAACTTTCTTAACCATAATATTTTATTTATTGGTTTTGTTTGTTATAACAATTATGTCCTCACAAGAAGGAGTGCTGTTACTTAAGTAAAAGCAATGCAGTACATTGTGAACCTGATGATATCTACTTGGCAGTTGAATCGTGTTATTCTGTTACTTTGACTTCCACAAATCATCATACTGGTGTGATGGTTGAAACCAAAATAGAGGAGGTGACAATAATATTTGCTGGTAAACTGTGTAAGAAGTGACA